AGGTTTCAAAAGATGCGTCTCAAACTAAAAGTTTCAGTTAATTTTGAACTTAGTTAATTAATAACTTTGTCAATACTTGACCAACGAGTCTTTTATTGCATAGGCATACCAGCTAAGGTGTACTCTATAAACTGGCAAAGTTTGAGGGTATGTTTAGGGGGAGACGCATGCCCACCCCCTAAATTATTATCTTCACCAACGCAAATGTGTATCTAGATCCCTATGTGAGTCGTGTCTGACGCTTTCACCATCCATTAGATTACAAGAGAATCTTTAACAGTTTTTATTCCAGTGTCCCGCATATAATATGAAAGTTATATGAAAGTTTATATGAAAGTTTTAGCTTTCTGCTGTAAACTTTTCCCAATGAAATTTAAACTTTACTGCTCAATAGTGAAATGGTATCGGAAGTTTGTTATTTTTATAACTCGACCCAGACTAATGCTGAAAGGCTAACATTTTCAGGATCTATTTAACTTTTGACGCTCTACACAATGACTTACTCAAATCTGCTCCATCGCACTTAAAGGACCGGTTTTCTAGAAAACCTTTCAGTTTTAGGGAGAGTATGGAACGCTAGTAGAAGAAAATTTGCGGTAGCCATATGCAAACCTTTTTGTTTGCTGGATGAAAGAACTCACTAAGTTATAGACTGCAGAGACAGAAACACTATCGATGAGTCCATGAAGAAGCATTGTGTCAAGATTGAGCTCCATTTTAAGTAATTTAACAGAAACTAAAAGTATATCTCTATCGTTTTTATATGCGGGACACTGGAATAAAAACTGTTAAAGATTCTCTTGTAATCTAATGGATGGTGAAAGCGTCAGACACGACTCACATAGGGAACTAGATACACATTTGCGTTGGTGAAGGTAATAATTTAAGGGAGGGGTGAAAAATGACTGACCGTTTTTTAATTATTAATTAGTTCTGGTTAGCACTAATTAGTGGCACTCTAGTGGACAAAGTAAATTTTTCTAATATTATAACAAATGGAAGCAAATCATGCGATATATCATTCGATAGAACTCTTCAAGCTCTATCGATCGTTCGAGCCACTTGACGCTCTACACCATGACTTACTCAAATCTGCTCCATCGCACTTAAAGGATTGATTTTCCAGAGACCGGTTTTCTAGAAAACCCTTCAGAAACCCACCATGGGCAGCTTTCATATTCATATTCGGAATCAGCATAGTCGATAACCTACAATCCACTAGGTTTCATAGCAAAAGCTCCTGATCAGTTGAGGACCTCTTTTCTCATTTTTTGCTACAGTTTTTAAGTGCAAGCTCAGACGAACTTGACAGACGTCTTATTTTGTTGAGAACTGAACGAGCTACCGAATGGAGGGTCAAAAAAAGATTTTCGAAGTTTTCCGGATCTTGCAGGATTTCTGGAAAACCAGTATTTTCCAGGGATCTGTTAGACCTGTTCCGGAGTATTAGCACGAATACTTTGCATTGATCTGTATAGATCTCGACGTCCTCTTTGATTTGAGATCAAACTCAAGGTTCCGCGACAGGGATAATAGGTATAAAAATGATTTGCTAGAGAGACTGTTCTGCTGGAAAATGCTGAAAAATAACAGTCATCGAAAAATGTGTATCTCGTCTTCTGCACCACAACTTTTGTATAACGAGGTAGGTTTTATAGATGGACCCTAGAGTAACGTCAGAAAATTTGATTCTCAAAAGATTTCATTGTTGAAAAACCACGTTTCGATTCTAGGTGGCGAAGATTTTGATCAAAATGTTATTGAACATTTTATTCAATTATTTAAAAAAAAACTGGTTTCGATGTACGTAAAGATACTCGTGCAGTACAGAGATTACGTCGTAAAGTGGAGAAAAGTAAACGTATTTTATCAACACAAGTTGAAACAAGAATTGAAATTGAATCGTTTTTTGGTGGTCATGATTTCTCAGAAACATTTACACGTGCTACCTTTGAAAGTCTGAATAAGCATCTATTTCTGTCTACAATTCCTCTACTGGAGAAAGTGTTAGAAGATTCGAAATTACAAAAGAGTGACATTTCAGAAATTCTCATGGTCGGTGGTTCAACACGTATACCAAAAGTACAGGAATTAGTCAAAGAATTCTTTAAAGGTACAAAGCTGTCGAAAGCAATCGATCCCGATGAAGCAGTTGGTACGTATTGGTTTTGAAAAGGAGAGGGTAGTAATGCATATGTGAGGACCGAGAAGAGATTCGTTGTTGAACATGTCCATTCGAAGTCGCGATTAAAAGAGATATCCTATGATCCTTTCTTACATTAACTTGTGGCACTATCCGGAATGTCGACGATACAATGTGTGGCTATTTTTAAAACGTATAGTCGGCAACGACAATCGATAAGGACCAGATATATCATAGGTTAAATCTTTATATTCTTAGCCAGGGGTGCTGCGGTGCACGCAGGCATATTGGGTGGTGAGAAAAGTACAGGCAAGTTAATTATCCAAGATGTTAATCCCCTGACATTGGGTATTGCAACAGAGGTAGAAGGTATAATGGCAAATATGATTCGACGTAATACGGTAATACCAACGAAAAACATCAAAGTATTTACGACTTTATACGACAATCAACAAACAGTTTTAATTTCAGTAAGATTCTGTACATCTTTCATTGAATGAATCATACATAGATCTTGTTTATCACAATCACCTCTTGAACCAATTTCGTAAAGCCTCATTTCAAGTGTGCAAGGTCACTTTCGTCCATTTGTCTGCTGTTTTCGGAGATAATACAGACATTTTTGTTCTTTTAAACTGCATTTTAGATCTATGAAGGAGAACGTCCATTTGTAAAAGACAATCATCTACTAGGACAGTTTGAATTGACCGGGATACCGCTGGTATGTATAGATAAAGTTAGCTGTAAACATGTTAGAATTAGTAGTGAAGCACGAGTGATATCCTTGGTGCTGCACTTGACGTTGGTTAAGAGAAGGTCGGCCAGAAAACCGATCTGCAAAGGGAATAGTGGCCGGATTTAAAATTTTCTTTTTGTTATTAGTATTCTAGTTCGAAAGAGCACATCGAAAAACTAAGCAATTCAAGATACCTCGTCTTTGTATGGCACTGTTCATGAATTGGGTGGGCTTAACTTTGTAGCCATCACCGGAAGCTCCATTTTGGGATGAAATCAATGTTTCTTTAATATCTCAGAAACAGCTTGATCGTTACGGTCCGTTCACATCTTATATGAAAGAGAAATGTTTGCTCTACAAAATCACTGCAGAAAGATACACTGAAAGGCAGCATCCTGGGCGTCCGCAAGGCAAAACCTGGAAAAACCGTTTTTTTCTAAACCTGCGTTTTTTCAGTATTTTGGACCTAGAAATCACTAGTCCAGCTTGATCAAAAAACAAATTCTGTTGTTTTGTACAGTTGATAATTCTTCATCGATTGATATATAAAAGAAAATTTTAGCTCCGGCTGGTGTGATCGGTATTCACATGGACTGTCTCTTAAGGTAGATTGGAGCTGACCGTCAGTAGACGTTCGACCAATATGCATGCATACAGACACTTTCCAATGTTCTTTTATCTGCATATGTTCGCAAAAACTAATTCTAATGTGAGGCCTCCAACTCCTGTCTATAGGCTCCAAAAGGCGTACCACAACTTGATGTTACATTTGAAATTGATGTCAATGGTATTCTGAACGTAACAGCTCAAGATCGTGCAACCAAAAATTTGAAGTACATTGTAATCACCAATTCACATTCAAATGTTCTTTCGTCGGTTGAAATTGACCGTATGATCAAAGACGAGGAGACGTTTGCGGAATTAGATCAACAGTTTAAAGCTCATATACATGCAAAAAATGAATTTGAAGTTTACATCAGAAATTTGAAAATGCAATTAAACGATGAAAAAATACTAGGTGGTAATCGATTATCAAAAGATGATAAATCGATTATTGAAACGGCTGTCAATGAGGAATTTAAATGGTTTGAATCAAACAAATCAAATCCAGAAATTGAAACTGAAAATTGGATTGAGCATAAAAAACAATTAGAAGCGATCGCAAGTCGAATTATAAGGAAACTTTATGGTGCGTAGAAGTGAATGAAAAGCTTTTTTGACGACATAAAATTTCACTGATTTATAACTTTTAGGAGACGGAAAACGTCCTGAACTATGAGGAGATTATTATATATACTTTTTTTTGCTTATATTCTTATTGATTCTTTTCAAATAAGGCCTGCGAAAAAGTCATTATAGGCCTAGCTCTGAATACTAGAGTATGGAAAAGTAAATTATGGTTTTTTAAGTGTTAGCGTGTTGATTTGACATTTGGATATCGAACCCAATTATGCAGGTAGGTATCAGATGAAACTTTTTTTCTCTGATGATCTGTTTCAGACTATATCGTTATTTTTCAGGGAAGCCCCCAAGCACGAAAAAAAGTCATGAAGCGGGCGCTGTATCTAGATTAAAAGGTACATTTATCTAGCTTCAGCTAGATGCAGTGAAATACATTAAAATTGATATAACTTCAGCTAGATTGAATCTAGCTTCAACTGGGTACAACTAGTTGCTATCGATTAATCGGGCAATTCACTGCGTCATTAATTGGCCAATGCAGCGGCCGTTTCAGCTAGTACACAACTTCAATCTGCATGCAGCTAGATAAATGTACCTTTTAATTTAGTTAATCTAGCTGTAAGTGGGCGCTGCAGCTAGATTTTCTCGCTTACTCAGTTTTGCTTGGGCCGTTAGCTCGCTGCTGAGTTAGAGTAGTTTTATTTTACTTGGTAAAAAAACGACCTATTTTCGATCGATCACAGTTTTTTGCAGATACGTTATTCACATTCGTTTAATATGCTGTTTTGTTGTCAGCAACGAGCTAACGGTGGCAGCTAAAAATATCGTATTCGTGATCAGCGCACTTAGCTCTACCAGATCCCATATATTTCTCCAAAACCCCACGGGGATACTTCAGGATGTTCCCTCATAAGCTAGCTTAAAAAATAAGAAAAAAAGAATATGTGCCCAACCAGAATCGAACTCACCGACTAAAACGCACTATCAGAATTGAAACTGGAAGTACGCGACGTTTTAATCAACTAAGCTACCAGGGACACATGTATCCAGGTCGAATTCGCCCGATCGGATCCTGTGGGATCCTTTGGATGGTGATTTTCTGAGAAATAACTATGACCTGTCAACGCCAAGAACGTTTTTTTTTGAAAAAACTGCGGAACAACTTTTGATGGAGAAAAACCTTGACATTTATACATGATGTGGTACTTATACGCGTCTCGGTATTTTCATTTTTAAAGATTGATCTTAAGAAATTTAACGACAGCAAAGTATTATGCTATAGAAAAAACATGATAAGCAACTTCTAGACTCATATTTCCGCTCCAAAATGCGTCCCCACAGAGACATTGCAGGTATATCTCAAAAACGGACACTTTTCGCCCCAAAGGCCCATTCTCAAGACCAAATCTGAATTTCTCCGGCAAATCTTGTCTGAAAACAATGATAATCTTTTCACATATACATCTCGATGTGCTCTATTGATTGGTTACAAAATCGAGGTTTCAAACCGAAAGTAAAAATTTTATTTAAATTTGAAAAAATGGGCAGAAAAGGTCGAAAAAATTAAAAGTTGTTTTCTAGAAAACTGCAGTTGGCAAACCTCCAAACTCTTTTCATACATATTTTGAAGTGTCCTCCACATTGGGGCAAAGTTTGAACCAAATGTAAATGGGAGGATCCCTTTATGGGTCTAGGTTTTTCTTCATCAAAAGGTATTTCGCAGTTTTTTTAAAATCGTTCTTGACGTCGACAGGTCATCGTTATTTCTCAAAAACTCACCATCCAGATAGGTGATGAAGATGTTGGATTGGTCTCAAAATGACGCTAATACGTAGAGCTACAAACTTATAAGGGTCTAATTTTTTAATTTCGGTCTGGTTTTTGATTAAGCGAAAGATTGGAAAAAATAGAATCAAGTTTTTTTTGATTTGTGACGCTTGCTAAAACTAACATTGATCTACTTATTTCAACTACATCATCAACATTTTTATCATCATCAAAATTACTTAACATGAAAATCTTGGTTGTCGCTTTTCTTACTCTTATAATGTGAAGTAAGTATTACAGGTATAATTCAATGTATTTTGATATTTAATATCAAAATACACACCAGATGTTATGACAAGCGAAAGTGTTTTTCTTATCTTCTTAGGAGAAGTCCAGTGTTATACTCTTAACAGTAAAAATTTGTAGACAAAATGTTGATAAAATGCGCATTATTTTCAGTTTAGCTATCTGAAATGAAATATTTTGGTAAATATTTGTTAATCTTAATGCCACATATTTTACTGAATTTGTAGTTGAAAAGATGATGCATGTCATTGTCTCACAACCCAACGAGTGAATGTAGGCGTATTTCAACGAAATGTATATAGCTGATATAGCCCATCACATCCTCATTTATGAGAATGTTGTGTGTGCTCAGATCAAAGTTGCTTATGTTCTATTTTCTCCGATTTGTCTTATCTTGGTGGAGCATGAATGAAAAAGTCTTTTTATTTTCCTCAGTTTGTTTCGTTCGTGCGGTTGATCACGCACACAGCATCTTCTTTCTCTGCTTTTCTGTGTACTGTTCTCTTACTGATCATCTTCATGTATAGGAAATCACGAACCATCAAGTGAGTTGTTGATTGGCAGATAAATCAGTGAACGGACGCGTATCCGTACTATGTTCACTAATAAACATACTACTCATTTCAGCTTTCAGAAGATACAATATCATGCCTATCCTCGAATGTGGTACTGCCGCTGGAGTAGAACGATAAAACACGATCATTGTGCGTCATAGTATTTTTCGAAGTATCTGTTAGATTAAAGCCGCAAAAGATAGCGTTGTTAATTTCTCTAACAGGAAAAAGACAAAATTTGGCTAGAGAATAGTATCTTGCTTAAACTCGTACGAAAAGTCACACGCTCTTCTGTGTGTTTGTGTTTCATTATCGCTTTCCAAATAGTTTTCTCAGTTTCCAAAAGACGAATGCACAAAGAAAGATATAAAAATGAATGATTGTACAGCATTATGAGTTGACTCACATTACCAGAGTGACATATTTTCTCTATTCAATTCATCAAGCGAAATAATTGGACTCAGTTGCCTGTTTACAGATGGTATCATCACCCGTCGTCAAGTGCCCTTTGATCATTAGAGTGAACATATTGTGAAATAGCTCGTGACTTCCTATACATGAAGATGATCAGTAAGAGAACGATACACAGAAAAGCAGAGAAAGAAGATGCTGTGTGCGTGATCAACCGCACGAACGAAACAAACTGAGGAAAATAAAAAGACTTTTTCATTCATGCTCCACCAAGATAAGACAAATCGGAGAAAATAGAACATAAGCAACCTTGATCCGAGCACACACAACATTCTCATAAATGAGGATGTGATGGGTTTTGTTTTCCTTTTCAGAATTTGTCTTATGGGAAAATTATCATCTAATCAGAGATCAACAGAGAGTAGGAGAGATGTCAATGTTCATAGCGCATGTCACACGCGGCGAACGCATTGAATCATAACTCCCATCTCGTTTTTTCTTCTGAATAAATCTCTCATCCGAAAATACACAATTTGACTTGCTCGCTCTCTTGCGGTGCTGCAATAAAATGAGTTTAGTGTAGTGAAAGGGTCTAGTGAACATTCACTCTGCAAAGTCTAGCAGTATCCATAGTTGACTGTAAGAGAACAAAATATTGTTTACTAGTCTTGAGGATGTGTACACGATATTAGTATTCGTTCCTCATTTTCATCATGCTAATCGAATGTTATTTCTATATGTCGCTGTCTGACACCGAGGATCAGTTTGCTGCACAATCTTATGCCTGTCTCCATTCCATGAGTGATGATGATGATTGGCATGACACCAAATATTGTATCCATCCTGATATCAACGTCCGTTTGACACTAAGTAACTATTCTCACTGTATAAATACTGGTACAAGACACGATTTTGAGATGCTAAAAAAGATGAACACATCAGTCGATGACATTCTGCAATGGAACGCGAGTATTGAATCAGTTGATCGTTATACCGCATATCTAGACAGGTGAGCTGGATACTGATGGTATGTCTCTTGAGAATGGATGAACCCTTCCACATGTACGTCACAAAATTAGTTAACGGCCATTCCACGTAATTCTGCTATCTGAAAGCTGTGTGCGTTACCGTTTTAAGGAAACTTCAAAACGTTATAAAAACTTGGGAAAAAGTCGTGAAGATTTGCGCAATCTCTCATTAAAAAGAAGATTCGAAAGTGGATTTAACCAGACTCCTGAAAGTTTTCGTTCGGATGATATATCAAGATAATTGAAAGATACTATTTTGAAAAAAATCAAGTTCAGGAGTTTCTCCTTTGTTCGTGGTATCATCCGAATGAAAACCTCTTAGTAGTTTGCTTAAATCCATTTTTAAAGAACTTCGAATCTTGTTTTTAATGAGAGACTGCGTAAATCTCCACGGCTTTTCCTCAAAAAGTTATTACGTTTTGAAGTTCCCTTATAATGGTAACGTCAACAACTTTCCAATAGCAGAGTTACGTGAAACGACCGTTAAGATACTTGTCTTGCACACCATCTTCTGCTTTCCTTTAGCTGGTTGGGTTAATAATTATTCTAGTAATACTAATATCAAATACTTGTATCCATCTCCTGTTGAATGCACCCTGCTCTTGTAGGTTCAACACGTTGAGCCATGCAGAAATGGTGGACCATGAACAGTTTATTTGTCAGTGTGGAGAGAAACGCACATTTGGTAAGTTCTGTGAATATGAGCTGATGACAAAGAAAGATAGCTTTGAAGACACAGTTAAGCATCAGTTTCGTCTAAAAAAAGACTATCGACTAGAAAGTCAGTTATATAGCAACATAACGTGTTACACAACATTGTTATGTGATTCGGGTTCACTGTGCCTTAATTGGCGTCATATATATGATGGGAAACAATAATGTGTCGATGGTGTCGAAGGACACATTCTGAAATGTGGAGCACAGTCAGAGGATAGTAGAACACGCATAT